GTGGTGTCCGCGGGTGCGGGTGCTGCTGCTGCTGCGGCTGCTGTTGACGATGATGATGGTGTGCGTCGTGCTGTTGTTGATGATGTGATTGGTGGGGCGACTGAGAAACCTGTTGCTGCGGCTGCTGCTCCTCCCCCATATCACCGCCCCCGAAACTTTAGGGGTTAAAAACAAATAGGAAAGACTTTTTTTTATCAACTAACAGGCAAATATAAAATTCAATAATTTTGATTAATAGTTTTCATCTATCGATACATTTTAATGTATGTGGTAATATTTCTTGTAGAGGTTCGATTAATGGTAATTTAATTGTTAAATAATAATGTTATTCTTATAATTTTGAAAATACCTTTCTATTACATTTTTCATATCGTTTCAATATCGTTAGGAATCGTAATAATAAAAATATCATTCCAGAATAAATCTAGAAAAATATAAAGGAAAGAAAAGTAAACTTCACACAAACTGTAAACAGTTCTATCCGTTTCGAAACGTAATATATAAAGGAATACAAAACTCGGTAATTAAATGACATCGTTTTTTAAACTAGCATTTTATACAAAACATTCGTGATCAGGATATTTGCCCTAAGTCACTCACCTTTCATGAATTATGTGCGTAGGATGATAGTCGAGCTCGTGAAGGGTATAAGCAGTATTTGGATCCTCATTGGCATGATCGTCGGTAGCAGCGGCGACGGCGGCGACCGCAATAGCGACTGCTTCGGCACCGGTTGGCTCAACCATGGCGCCATTTTCCATTTCCGGCTGTCCCGCCTCCAGCACGCCCACACCGCTGTCCTCCTCTTCAGTCTCCTCAGTCGCCACAAATGCCAGCTGTTGCTGATGTTGCTGCTGCTGGTGTTGCTCCTGCTGCTGGCCGACTTCGTGTCCGATGACGTCCTCGCTCTTTATCGCCGTCGCCGCCACTGCTTTGTCCCCCTCCTCCTGCTTAACAATTGCCTCCCTAGTGGACTGCGACGTTGGTTCCGTGGCCCCGACATATCCGATCAAGACTATATAACCGTCAAACGAATTATTGGATATCTCATCTGATAGATTACCAATGTATTTATATCTGAAAAATCCCAGCTAAGCGCATTCTAAGTCTGTACTTTTCAAAAAAGTCCTAAAATAACATTAATTAAGTTTTCACCTTAGAGGGTTAGAGTTGAAGAGGATCAGAATACAAGAACTGATCAACCACAATCGAGCATTTCTCTCTCATTCGGTTAAAAGGAAAATATTCGATTGTGACTAGTCCATTCCCACACTCCGACCCAATTCTAACGCTCGGTAGAAAAACTCAGTCATTGAAATTATCAACAATGAAGATTTTGGTACTATTTTTTATCTTAAATTTATATAAATTACATAGATAAATTATCACGAATACAGGATATTAATATTTCACATTTAATTGTCACAACTTTTGCAGGCATTTTATTAAGGATATCTCAAAATTTTACGAAGATTATATCGTTGCTATTTTATTAAAAAAACGTATTTATTAAAAAAATATATATATTACATATAAATTGATTATTTTACAGTAATAAGCAAGTATGATAACAAGTTGTATAATCATTTTATATAAAATTCCGTAGATTCCCAAATACATTTACGTATACATATAGTATTAGGTGTTGGAATTAATTCGTAGCGTTTTTTAATGAAAGAAAAGAAAGTTATTTATTTCACATGAGCATTAAAAAATACATTAATGAAAGTACTTCCCATCACTTGTAAAACGCTACGAATTAATTCCAACACCTAATATATAAACACATATTTCTTCATGTGTAAAAGACAAACGATAAACAGTATGTTGTTTAAAAAAAAAATGTATTTGTTGGCATCGCATTATCTAGCATTACGAAATCTTCTCCAAAAGAAATATATTCCTGTTCTCTTTTATTTCTCAGCGCATAATTATGATCCTATATGTCTAATTTATTATCACGGCTCTTTTTTGTGGAAAAAATAATATTAAGTGATGAAAAAAGAGAAAGATAATATATTTTTCTCAATATTTTTCTTAAAAAATCTATTTCTATCTATTAAATTAATCGAAAACTTTGTTGAATTAAAATTAAAGTCCCGGTTATATATGATACTTAGTAAATTTGTAAAATATTAATTATAAATTTATGTAACACGTAAAACAAAAAATTCTTAATTTAACTGACCAGCTGAAATGAATTGATTATTTCGGTTGCATGTCCGTTCTACTTTATAACGTTAATAACCGTGATCGCATAACCATGCAATAAAAAGCGCAGGAGTGTTGAAATCGATTGAGATTCGACAGAGGCGTAGGGTACATCACACCACGTGATGACACCGAGAAACTGTTGCTAGCCGGTGCGTTACAAAAATAACCACGTGCTCTTATCTACGCGTCGTTAGTAGTGGCACACGCACTCACGCACGGATGGACACTGCGGCAAGTAAAAAGAAGCGAGAATGAGAGAGTGATAGAGGAAGAAAGAGAAACGAAGCTAATAAGAGTAAAGAAACGAGGAGAATGATTTCCCGAGCTGTTCTTTCTCTCTCTCTCTCTCTCTCTCTCTTGGGACGATAAAAATATTATTTTTTATCGACGAGGGGTTCGCATATCATGTTAGGACCAACCATCATATACCAACCAGAATCTAGCAATTCTAATCTTGAATATTTATTTAGTTAAATCTTATAATGTGTCAATTCTCGAAAGTTCTTTATATGCAACAAATAATTGAAACGAAACGCGGTGTACTGCGTGTACGTTCTTGCGCTCTTAATAGACCATCGTCTGACCTCGAACGATGTAATATGGGTCGATCGTGACGATTTGATGCGTAACTCGATTGTCCACGCGGCCGCTGAGTAATCGGTCGTATGAACGTGCGACGCACGAGGGAAAACCTCAGGAATGTCACGTGCGTCCCGTAAAATCAATCTAACTCGTGAAACATTGTTCATCCGACAAAGTTCAAATATCATTACGCATCTATGACTGTGTATTCATATTTCTATATTAAAAAAGAAAGAGCGAGAAAGTTTTGTTTAAAACTGTAGCCCAAACTACATTATCACGAATCAACAAGTATTTTGGCGCAATATGGAAATTCTTATAACTTTGTCTGAGGCTTTTATCTGAGGCTTGTTACTTTTTCATCCGAAAAATAATTAAAATTAAAAATAATTAGTAAATCGCAACATGTAAAGTTATCGTAATTTTATTCATCTGTATTCACTTTTTCTGACATAGTTTTCATATTACGTGAAGTATGTATTAATAATTTATATATTATTTATATATTAATTAGTTTAAATATTAACATGTAAAATCTGAAGAATTTTATATACATATATACGCGTTATCTTTATATGAATCCGAGTGATAAAGTATCTTTCGCTCGAGGAACGCATGGATTCGATTTAGTGATCTTATTGAAGCTACCGTAATAACCTGCATCATCCCTGAAGGCGGTATATCGACCGTTTAACATTGAATCGACCTTATTGACATTACCTAATCGAATTGGAAAGGTCAGGCTCATTGGATTATCGCTGCCGTTCGGCGAATCCTATTAAAAAACATATTTTTGCACAAAAGGTCCAAGTACAGTTTGCTTTGACCAACCTCTGAAATAATGTAAATAAAATGTACGTACAAGGTAGTCTGACGCGTTGCCGATAATACTGCCTGGCAAAGATTACTCTTTTAACATCAATCAAAAAACAACATGCGATTATAAGAATTGTATTTAATTAATTTTACATTTTTAAATAAATTGTAAATTCAATTTCACATTATTTCCTCATTTAGTAAATTTATGTATTCTACATATAATTACTTTAAAGAGACAAAATATTTTTTCTAAGAAAAAAAAACAAATTATTCCTTTAAGAAGTAATTCAAAATTTTATTTTATTCAAATAATTTTATTTCATTCATACCAATTAATAATTAATTAATAGTTATTTATTTATAGTAATAGTTATTTTCATTATTTTTTTTAATAAATAAGAATTTTATTTAACAAGAATGCAAAATAAAATATATGCTGTAATGACGCAACAAAATAACTACGCAAGTATAAGAATTTTGTAAGAACTTTGAATAAAAAACTTTAAAAAATTATCGGAAAGGAATTAATCGCCTCTGTCGTATTATCTACAATGAGAAGATGCAGAACTGCAACCCCGATTAATCATTCAATGAAAAAAATATACATATGTATGGACATTATATGGTTGCAGCGAAGATCTTTTTTCGTTACAATACAAATGATCGACACGAACGACAAAAAATTGCGCGCAATCAATATCTTTATAAGTAAGTAATATTATTCGAATATCATTCTCTTTTATATCAAATTAATACGTTACTTTTAGTTTCATAATTAATACATTTTGTTCTCTTTTTCTTTTTATAAGTTCCTCAACTTTCAGATATCATAAAAATAGAAACATTCCGTAGATTACTCTTTATAATTAATATTTTATAAGATCCATTTATTTTTAATATTAATTATTGCTCTATCTCACTTTTTTACGTTTATTTCGAATAAATCTGTATTTTTCGAATTATTGATTGCGAAAACGCAAAGTGCGCGCAAGTGCGTAGCTTTTGAAATTATTAATAGCATGAGAATAGATAATAGAGCGTTTATTATCCTTCGAGATATACACGAGAATTAATGATACCGCTTTCCTGAACGGTAGCGAGTTTCAGAATCATTGGATGAGCGGAAGAGGTTTTGTACATCGAGGCCAGAGGTTGCTCTTATCTTTCAGACCCCCACAAAAACAGTCTCTGTTATCCGCAATATGAACGAACATGGTACGTATATATATATCGATGCGATTTACGACGAGATTTTCAAAGATTGAATAGCCTCTTTATCTCTATCTTTCGAGCCCTGATCTTTCTCTTTTTATTTCCCTTCTTCTTCATTTTCTATTTGACAAAACTCGTAATTTATAATACGATAAATTTAAATAAATGATTTATTCAAATAAGAATTATAATGGAAATATGTGGCGTGGGTACACATTTTAACTTACTATTAAAGAAAAAAAAAAGAAAGAACAAGATAAAAATTTAAGAGCAGTATATATTATATAAATAGAGAAATCATTTTTATATATTTTATAATTTTGATTTTTTTTACCCACATTAAAATTTCACAAGACAAAATTAAGATGTTTCTACAAGGCGTTGGAAGAACAGGGACTGCATTGTGAATAGGTAAGATGAGGTCAGGCAAAGTGGTCGTTGAATAGGCTAGATGGGTGCGTTCTACCTATTTCCGATAAGAAAAAAAAGGCCAGGTGTTTTTGCGTATATCGTTCATGAGGGTGACATATTCTCGGCACATCGTTCGTAAAATTACAATTTATAATCTGCAATCGACATATTTGCACGCAAAGAATGCAAAAAATGATTCACAGTGATTGAGTCACCTGCGTTTATTCGAAAAGGCACGTATAAAAAAAATAATAAAGAGAAATGTATCATCGCATGACGATTATTATATATTAAATAATATGTATTAAATAATAATCTTTTTATAAAATTTTTTATAAAAAATCCATATCTTAAAGTGGAGCTAAAGCATTCTGTATAATATTATCTTTAATAACAATATTATTGTGTTTTAAATTTATTTTTAAAAATAATGTTTTATCTCTCTTTTACTTGAATGATTTTATTCGCAATGAATCAAAGATGAATCGTCATATTTGAAACTGCTTACTTTGCTGTATTCGCCAAGTAAGTGTCGTCACAGTGTCTACCGCTGAAGCTGCACTAACGATTGCACGGAAAGAATGGTTTTGTCGAAGTATCTACAAATATTGGCTAAATACAGATTTAAAAATAATTTTGTTGGACCATCAAAATAATTACGTAGATTTCAAAAATAGTGAATAATGCTGCAAAAAAATTTTGACAAACATTTTTAGCAACCAGATTGAGTATTCTATATAATTATTTTGATGACTTAACAAAGATTTATATTAATAG